TTGTCTTTCAGTTTGGGTTGTCAGTGTGCCCAAAAGCACTGCAGATTTCTAAACTCCATTTAGTGTTATGGTGGAAAGCATGTGAAGATACATTATTTCTGTATGTGTGCTTAAGATTGTGCTGTATACCACTGTTGCATCTAGGTTCGCACCTGACTGAGCTGAACGATTCTGAACATTTTTCAGCTCATGGACAGCATTGCTTGAAAACACACACCAATATTGCAATAAAAAGCTTCTTACTTGTCACAGCAGCTTAATTACTGTCATTTTGTGCTGAAAGCGTGACGTGATAATTATCACCAGTGATACAGTAGAACCCCATTATAACCCCTTTATAACCCTGTTATGCCCATAACAACTTGTTCGCTCCCTCTGTTCAGCAAGCTCCAGCTTGCTCCATGTCCCCTGCCTGGCTCGCCACACCATCGGCGGTCAGCCCTTCAGCCTCTCTGCCCCTACCCTTTGGAACTCCATCCCACGTTCCCTTCACCTCCTTCCATTCCCTTGCCTCTTTCAAGGCATATCTCAAGACCCTCCTCTTCGACCCTCCTCTTCGACCCTCCTCTTCGACCCTCCTACCCTCCCTGACATCCACCCTCCCTGATCCCAACCAAACCCCCACCCCCATCCCTACTCGGGTCCAAATCCCTGACTGTCCAGCGCCTTGGGAAGTCCTCCCAACGTGAAAGCCTGTATAATGTAATTTTGCATTGTATTATAACCCTGTTATAATGTGGGTGCACTTGTAATGGGGTGTAATGGATCCATTGGCCAGGTACCTGTACACTAAAAATGTCCACCTACAATGTCATCAGGTCACTGCTGACATCACTCCCTGTGTTCTGCACACATGTGAGAGGCCAGTCAGCTTTCTGCGCACATGGGCAGTGAGGTAGCTAGCCATGTGTTTTGACCATCGATTGTGCCCTGTTAGAAGGCTGGTTATGATTTTATAAACCTCTCCAGCTACCGTGTTATAACGAGATTATACTGTAATTGACACATTGTTTAAAATTGTGGTCAACCCATTCAATATTTATCTAACAGGCCGCTATCTTCAGAATAATGGGGACTCCTTCCGATAACTGGACCTACTTCATGCTGACCCTTCAACTTCAGGAAACTCTGCTCTAGAAGTAGATTCCTTCATAAGAATTTCCATTATATAATACAGCAAATGAGACCCATATACATCAAAGGATCCCACAGATAGATATATCCCCCCCCCCTCCCCACTCCCACCTCTGGTAAATACAGCAGCACTGCTGTAAGGGTTAAGAAAATAGAACTGAAATTCCTCACGAACACTTAAATGTAATCAGACAATACTGCAGAATATTTCCTTTCAAGACTGAACAGGCTTAGTTTGTCTAATTGTTGCTCATAGTTAATTTCTCTAACATGGGGGATCAGTCTCATTGCACTCATCTCGGCTGCCTCAAGGCTCCTCAGCAGCCACCTTATGTCTCAAGAGTTAGAACTGTACCCAGTAATCTAGATGGGGCTGAACCAGTTTGGGCACAATACTGCCAAAACTATGTCTTTTCTTGTTCTACTGCCTCTCTGAATCCCGGACTATTGTTCTGGGTGCGCCCCTATGTGATCCCCAAATCACATTTGAAATGTTATACATCTCTATGAGGTGTCCTTTGAGACGTCATCTCTCAGGACTGAAGATCCGTAGCACGTTTAGTCATTCTTCATAGCTCGTTCCCCCAAATTGGGATCATCCATGTTTCTCTCATCTACACTACCTCTAGGGCCTGGGTAGCCCTCTTATGCCATGGTGTTAGAACTACATGCAGTACTCTAGGTATTGTCTGACAAGAGCATTCTGCAGCCTGTATATGACTTCTGGAAATCTGAACTGAACTAATTTAGTAATATAGCCCAGCATCCTGCTTGCCTTGTTTATTGCTGCCTCACACTGTTTTGACATGGTGAGCGACAAGTCAATTAACAGTACCTAGCAATAACAAGCCCAAGTCTCTTTCAGATTCCCCTTCGGCAAATTATATCTTATCCATGAAGTACATGTGTTTCTTATTCCTACTTGGTACCTTGCATTTATCTGTTTTAAACAATCAACAGCCGAAGTGCATACCTAACCAGCAATCTCTGAAGTCCATGGAAACTGAGCAGCATGCTGATCTCTGGATTCTAGTTGTTCAGTGACATTTTACATTTACAATGTATCTCTAGTAATGGAATTTTAATTTCAATGGTGAAAACCATAAGATGCTAAATTTTCCTTTCATGTTCAAGGAAGTTCTCTGGTGTATTTCTTAGCTTTACTCACTGATCAGGGTGAGTGTATAATTGCAGGTCCCTTCACTGTTTCCTTCCTCTGTGCATGTCTGTGTGTGAGATTAACTTCTTCAGTCCTCTTGAATTGTTTATGTGGGTTAAGTTTACAACCAAGCTTTGTAGATCATTTTCTCATAGGTTAAACACACCATGAAAACGTGCTTGGCCCAACAACAGAAAACTCTGCAGTGGGTCAAGATGGACGCACATAGCTTTATTAATGTACCAAGAGAAACAGCGAAGGAAAGTGTGACTGTTTTTCCCACAAGAAATCAGAGAAGTAAGAGTTGAAGACCTGCACATTTGTGTCTACATTTGCATTTTGCACATGTGTGTTTTCACCCATGTGTAAAAACTGGCCACACATTGCCCACCAGAGTAAAATCACACATGGAATGTTTTACATTGGGAGAGAGGAGAAAAACAGCTTTGGGACAAACATTAAATGTATGAAGCATACTAGAGATTACAATATCCAGATGATAAATGGCATGATTGAACAGAGAAATAATTAACTCTTTCATATGCTGGTCTGTGCTGATATTTAAAATTATATTCTGGCTACTGAACCTACTAGTCCATTGATCGTCCTTATTAAAACACATGTTCCTACTCTCTCCTCAATTCAGTAGCTGCTTTTAATTTGGTTGCCAAATTATTGAATTATTACTTGCATACTGTCAATTTATTCTTATTTAATTCTGCTCTTATCAGTAATAAATGTAGAAAAAGCGAACGCTGACAATAACATCTGGTGAAATTATAGTCAGCATTATGGCCAAACGTAGGTTAGCATCATTTAAGGGACTTATTATTCCTTGTAATCATTCAACAAACTATCTGTCATTTTCTCAGTACCTTATACATGCAAGAAAAGAATGATAAATATTATGAAGAGGCAATGTAGTCAGCTCCATTGCAAATTGTGTCCTAATCTGTCAAAATGTGGTGGCTTTCTAACAAATAATGTATCACAAATGCAGATTAGACAGACTAACAAACATTCTTCAGTACTTACAGTGATGGATGGATAATAAACCTAAATTATAATCTGTATACCACTAGTTACTATGTATAGACTACTTAGACAATATGCCAGGCCCAAACCTGATGTCAACTGGTTTGTTCCATCTACTTATTTTCAAAACAATTTCCGAACACAGTTTATGCCTCATTATTCCAGTACATCATCCCATCTGGAAGAGAAATCAATTGGATTTAGCTGAGCAACATTTAACCCAGCTGTGATTATACTAAACTGCATGTTTGGTGATGAATCACCTTTATTTTGGCAGTGATCTGCCTTCAACAAGCAACACAAATGGATATCCAGAGAGTGTGAATATTGATGGAGCTTCGTTGTTCTAACTTCCCCAACATCAACAACAAAATTACATTTATAGAGCGCCTTTCACGTCGGGAGGACGTCCCCAAAGCGCTGTACAGTCAGGTGTTGGGGCCCGAACATGGGAGAGGGGTGGTGTAGGAGTGAGAGAAGGCAGAGAGGTGGGAGACCAAAGGCACGGTCAAAGAGAAAGGTCTTGAGACCGGCCTTGAAGGAGGCAAGGGAGGAAGCGAGGTGAAGGGACCGTGGAATGGAGTTCCAGAGTGTGGAGGCAGAGAGGCTGAAAGCCCGGCCACCGATGGTAGGGTGGGTCGGGCAGGAGACATGGGGCAGGCCGGAGCCTGCTGAATGGAGGGAGCGGGCAGGTTGGTAGGGAGTCAGCAGGTCAGAGAGGTAGGAGGGAGCAAGGCCATGGATGGCCTTAAAGGTGAGGATGAGAATCTTGAACTCGATCCGCTGGGGGATGGGGAGTCAGTAGAGTCAGGTGAGGGTGGGAGTGATGGGGTCGCGGAGCCTGGTGCTCAAGAGTACACAAGCTGCAGAGTTTTGGATGGTCTGTAGCTTGTGAAGGGAAGAGTTGGGAAGGCCGATGAGGAGGGAGTTCCCGTAGTCGAGCCTTGATCTGACGAATGCGTTGGTGAGGGTTTCGGCAGCCTGAGGCGTGAGGCAGTGGCGGAGTCTGGCAATGTTTCGGAGCAAGAGTTGGTTTCAGGAGCAAAGCTGTTTGCACACACATCACATAAACAGCCATGAAGTCCATGCATTGCAGTGAATGGGGACCCAGTGAAACTTCATTATACTTATGTTATAATGTAGCATGCTATGATGGGGTGCACTGTGTATGTACATAATATAAATAATGATCAGTAAATGTTCATTGTCTGGCTGCACAATAAATCTGATTACATTTTCCTCTACATGTTAATTTATCAGTCTATTTCTCCATTGTTCCATCATTCAGGTAGTTTTTGCTCAAACGTAATTGAGGCCATTATTACTTTGGAGGGAAACTTATAACATTTCATTTCAGATTTGATGTAAATTCTTTTAAAAGCATGAACAGAGCCAGCAGAGCATTTTAGAGGGGGCGCTTAGAATTAAAAGCAATCAATAATTAAGGCTTAATTCTATCAATAAAATTTAAATTTCATATAAATGTGCATATTTGTTCCTGTTTCTATATAAACTAGAAACTCAAGATATCAGATTCAGACAGCAACACGATCCAAATGTTGGAATCTGGGCTTTTGGGGTGACTGCAATCCACAATGCAACTTGGTTATCAATCAATAACTCTGATTATGTCAATTGTCAGCATCAGATACAAGATCTGCAGCATCCTTACCTCAGCTCCTGTATCCCAGGCTCCACTGCAACTGTCAACAGAGGGAACAGCAGAATAAAATAGGTAAGTTTACACTTTCATTACAAGAGCTCAAGCTGTGCAGGCAAAATAGTGTAAAAATCACAGGTGATCTTAGTTCACAGCAATTCCAATTCAAGAGTAATTACAATGCCAATTCAAGAGTAATTTCAAGAGTAAAAACTCGATTTACACTGAAATTTGTACAGTGGATCCAGCTTTCCTCTCGATCAGTGCTGTGTCCTGATTCTGATGACATGAAGCCTGAACCCTACACATTCCACCATGTACATGTGGAAAAGAACCATTCACCCTGCCAGTGCAGCACAGCACTAGTCCATGTGCTCATCAGGTACTATAACACTATTTGGAAAGTAAAGGGAATTTCTTCTGACGTCCCAGTTAGCAATCAGCCAAATAAATTGGTAATTCATCGCATGCCTTGTGGGATCTTTCTGTGTGCAAATGACTGCTGTGCTTCCCTATATAAATAGTCACTACAATGGCTTGTATTCACATCTACCTCACTAATATTAACCTCAGGAGGAATTATCAAATTCTGTTCCATGTTTCAGTACAACAACAACGACTTGCATTTACATAGCAACCTTGACACAGGATTATATCTCAGAGCTGCACAATGGTGCGGTTGGACGCTGAGCAAGGGAGATGGTGGAGGAGTGATGACATAAAGATAAAGAGAGGGCGATGCAGAGCGATTGAGGCAGAGAGTTCCAAAGATTAGGTGTTCAGTGATTGAAGACACAGCTACTGGTGGAGGTTTGGAGGAGGTTGGGGGGTGAAGGACATGCCAGATAAGTGAAGGGGACAGGCAGAGGAGTGGAGTACAAGCAGGTAAGAGAGGTAAGGAGGAGCTAGGCGTGAAGGATTTACATGTGAGGGTGAGCATCTTCAAATCAATCAGTAAACAACAACAACAACAACAACAACAAGATTCCATTTATAGAGCGCCTTTCACGTCAGGAGGACGTCCCAAGGCGCTGCACAGTTGGGTCATGACCCGAGCAGGGGGGAAATGGTCAGGGTGAGGGGAGGGAAGGGAGGGAGAGAGGAGGGGGGAAATGGTCAGGGTGAGGGGAGGGAAGGGAGGGAGCGAGGAGGGGGAAGAGAGTCGAGAGGGGAGCTGAAGGCACGGTCAAAGAGAAAGGTTTTGAGACCGGCCTTGAAGGAGGAAAGGGAGGAAGCAAGGCGAAGGCACTGGGGGATGGAGTTCCAGAGCCTGGGGGCTGAGAGGCTGAAGGCCCGACCACCGATAGTAGGGCGGTTGGGGCGGGGGACGTGGAGCAGACCGGAGCCAGAGGAACGGAGGGTACGGGCAGGTAGGTAGGGGGATAGTAGGTTGGAGAGGTAGGAGGGAGCAAGGCCGTGAATGGCCTTGTAGGTGAGGATGAGGATCTTGAAATCAATCCTCTGGGGGATGGGGAGCCAGTGGAGGCGAGCGAGGGTGGGAGTGATGTGGTCCCGAAGCCTGGTGCGGGACAGTACACGAGCTGCAGAGTTCTGAATGACCTGCAGCTTGTGGAGGGAGGTGGCGGGAAGGCCGGCGAGGAGAGAGTTCCCATAGTCCAGCCTTGAGGTGACAAAGGCGTGAACCAGGGTTTCAGCAGCGTGAGGGGTGAGGTAGTGCCGTAATCTGGCGATATTCCGGAGGTGATGGAAGGCGGTGCCAGTTGTGGTGCGGATGTGAGGGAGAAAGGACAGCTCAGGGTCGAACAAAACGCCGAGGTTCCTGACTGGCTTTGAGAGGTGGAGAGTGCAGCCTTGGATGCTGATGGTGTCAGCGCCTGAGGTGCGGAGGCGCTGACGTGAGCCAATCAGGAGGGCCTCGGTTTTTCGCACGTTGAGCTGAAGAAAGTTGTCTCTCGTCCAGGACTCGATGTCGGACAGGCAGGCTGTCAGGACATCGGTGGTCGTGGAGTTGAGAGTAGAGGAGGAAAGGTAGAGTTGGGTGTCATCCGCATACATGTGGAAGTTAACCCCATGTTTGCGGATGATGTCACCAAGGGGGAGCATATAGAGGGTGAAGAGGAGGGGACCGAGGACAGAGCCCTGAGGGACACCACATGAGACAGTACGGGGGGTGGAGGAGAAGCCATTCGTTGAGACGAAGTGAAGACGGTGGGAAAGGTAAGAGCTAAACCATTCAAGGACAGTGCCTTGAAGGTTGAGGTGGGAGGACAAGCGGTGGAGTAGGATAGCGTGGTCGACCGTATCGAATGCTGCCGATAGGTCGAGGAGGACGAGGAGACAGAGGGAGCCCTGGTCACAGATGGTCAGGATATCATTGGTGACCTTGACCAGGGCAGTTTCTGTGCTATGAGCAGCACGGAAACCTGACTGAAGGGGTTCAAAAAGAGAATGGGTGGAGAGGAAAGAGCGCAGTTGGGAGGCGACAACTCTTTCCAAGACCTTGGAGAGAAAGGGGAGGTTGGAGATGGGCCGGTAGCTTGATAGCTGCGACGCATCAAGGGAGGGTTTTTTCAGGGTGGGCGTGATGATGGCAGTTTTTAATGGAATGGGGACAGAGCCAGAGGAGAGGGACAGGTTTATGATGTCAGTGATGTGTGGGGCAAGAAAATGGAGCTGGGAGATAAGGAGTGGAGTGGGGATGGGGTCAAGGGAGCAGGTGGTTGGTTTTAGGGATAGGATGAGTTCAGTGACAGAGGGTGGGGAAACGGGTACGAAGGTGTGTAGGGGAGGATGGGTAGGAGTCGGAGTGTGGGAGGGAAGGGGTGGGTGGTGGGTGGAAGTTGGAGGGGAAGTGACCGCGGAGCGGATTCCCTTGATCTTGGATTCAAGGAAATCCAGCATCTCCTCGCAGTGAAGGTTGGAGGAGATGACCTGCGCGGGGTGGCGGGGGGGACGGAGGAGTCGGGATGTGGTGGAAAACAGTAGCCTGGGGTTGTTCTTCGCCTCCAGGATTATCCTGGAGTAGAAGGACGACTTGGCCGAGGCTAGAGTGGAGCGGTAAATTTTGAGGAGGTCCAGCCAGATTTGTCGGTGGACCGTTAGGCCAGATTTGACAAAGGTGCGCTCAGCAGCCCGCACCTGGCATTTCAGTGAGCGGAGGTGGGTGGTGTACCAGGGGGAGGAGCGGGAGTAGGAGACAGTGCGGGAAGTGATGGGGGCAAGAGTATCGAGTGTGGAGGAGAGGATATTGTGGAGGAGGGAGAGAGGAGAAGAGGGGTCGGTGAGGGTTGAAGGCCAGAGGGAGAGGAGTTCAGAGGACTCCAAGGCATCGGTTAGGGATTGTGGGGGTAACTTCTTCCAAGGGCGGTAGAAGATGGTGGTAAAGAACAGTAAAGAACAGTTTCAGCACAGTCCTAGCGCAGCAACAATCTTTCCATTTCTTATTTGTTTTCCACAGGTTTATGCAATGCCATGTAATCAGCCATTCCATTTATTTCAATATACAAATAATTAAAAATTACTTTACAAGTTTATTTTTCTCTTCTCACTGATTCAATTGTGGAATGCAGCAATTATGTAAAGGTACTTTACATCTCTATTGAATGCAGTTTTTAAATCACTGTACAATTTAATAGTGGGTGAAAAAAGAGGAATTTCAATCAACCTTCCCAAAATAGAATCTGTAACTCAATTATTTGAAGATTTCATAATCTCTTGCACAATTTTCCACGCTGCAATGGGATTTAGCATTAAATAGTTGTGGAAGAGACAGGAGGGTAAAATGTATTGATTTTACAGTGCATGAATGGCACAACATACCATTCAAAATATTTTACGTGTTAAACTCAAAGGAAAACCTTGGTACCACTCGATTATTTCACAATGGCCACATATGATTTTTTAAGATTTTCGCTCACATTGAGGTCTAAAGCAGAAAGGTTTCAAACAGGATTTCTCAATAACGATTCATGTCATAGATTGGAATGGACTCTGTTGTACCTAGCTCCAGTCATTAGTTACTCTGTGGGTAAAGAAACATCACCTGATGACTGTGCTGAAATTGCCCTTTACAACTCTACACCTGTGTGTCTTCTTGTTTTACTGTCTTGATGCATCCTAAAGTATTGTTCTTAGTTTTCTTTTTAAATGATATTTAAAATGTCATATATCTCTGAGTCGTTTTCACTCAAGACTGAAGAGCTCTAACTTGTCTAATCATTAAGACAGAGTTGAGAGTCTGAAAAACGTTTGTCACAGTGTGAATCAGAGGACACCCCACCACTAAACATGAATTAACTCAGTATTCACATACAACAGCCATTGTAATAATATTATTATAATATTTATAAATGATTATAATTTATGATAAATGTTAAAATAAATTATTTTATTATTGTAATTTTTCACTACTAGGCAGACAGAAACGATCTACCACGACAAAACAAATGTCAAATCTACATTCCACCACTCAATGGCAATAAATTAATGAATTAGACATATACCCCAATACAACAAAAGTCATACAACCACAAGGTAACAACAACCAGATGGATACTCTATCACGACACAGCAGGGTTCAAACACAAACGTCACAAGATATTTCCAAACTGAAGGCTGTTAACCCTGCAAGTCAAAGCTCTCACCTGACTTAACAAGCAGTGGGAAACATACAGTTGTTCGCAATGGCAAGTTTTAGCTCGTTAAACTCCAGCAGGATCCCTAAAACCCGGCCTTAGCTGACCAAAAAACCCTTAAATTCTCAGTTAAGGACAAGTGAAACAAGTGCCCTCTGTATATGAGTGGGTGTCCATTTGTGAAAGCTCTTTGGCTTCCACTGAAACAAGATAATCTCAGATTTGTAAATAAACAGCCTTAATACTGCCCTATGGATAAATGTAGATCCCTCTGACCTGACTGTTCCTTTTGGCCTACAGAAGATTCAGACAACATGTGCCCATAAGAGCAGTAAAGACCAACTCAGAGAGCACTATAACAGGGGTGGAGTACCTCTCCTTACACTATCTGGCTTGCTCCCCTGATGTCCATTCAAACTCTGAGAACGTTTTACTATTATTTTAATAAACTATTCATTTGACCGGTTCTTTCATAAGGAATAAAAATATCCACTCAAATTTGGTGTTCAGTGCATGCGGCAAGGCAATATTGGTTATTCTCCCTGGTTTTAAAGTGGTACAAATGTTAAGTGCTGTATCAACTGTCTTCCGGCTCCACATCACTATATTCATGAGAGCAAAGGGGTTTAATTTCTGACAGTAACAAGATTAGAGATGGGAACCAAAATTACTGCTGTTTTTACTGACAATGTTGAATATTCACAGAATTCATGAGAGATTCCTAAGGACTGCCAAGGAGCTAACTTACCTCCAACAAAAGATCAAGAGAAATTCTGGAAAATTATTGAAAAATATATAACACAGAAAAAGGTCATTCAGCCAACAAATCTTTGCAATCTCCCAACATAGGGCTGGTACCATTTTGTTTTACAGTTGGAAGTTAGAAGTAAGAAGGGACGTTAGACTGAACATTTTCACAGGATGGGTAATAGTTTGTGGAATAATTTACTGGGAAGGTCATTGAAGCAAATAGCACAAATTGGTTCGAAACGCAAATAAATGCATTTCTCTATAGAGAAACCATTAAGGGATATGACTGGTGACTGTGGTTCTGAACTATCAAAAGGAATACAGCTTGCTTGATCTCATGGGAACAAATGCAATATCTTTGTTACGACCTCCATCTCCCCAGCCAAATGCCTGCTAAACACAGTTAGTCTTGCTCTGCAGATGATTGGAAAAGCAGAAGAAAAGTTGGTTATTCAATACCTAGCTTCAATAGTAAGAATTGAATGCATCTATAGGAAATAGCTATTGCCAGCAGTTGAAAATAACTCCAAAACTGTCAATATTCTTACCAACAAACAGACATTTCCATGCCGCTATTAGGTGAATATGTCATTTACGAAGGATAAAATTATTATAGTTTAAACGCCTAGTTTAAACTTTACATACCAGAGTACCCATAACAAGCAAATTGTTATGTTGTTCATTATTTGTCCCTTTTAGGTTTGACAGCAGAATGAGTAAAATGTGAGTCAAAATCACCCCGACTGCTGCAGTGTATTCACTTTTGATGAATAGACCTTTTTTGCTGAATGTATCGCGTTTGGAAAAGCCAATATTAATTCAGTGCTAACCCATCAGGGGATCTCCACAGGAACCAGTCTGTGTTCCAAGGCACCAAGCAAAGAGATTTAAGTCCTATTCAGCAACTCACCCCTAGATCCTTTTGAGCGTGTGCGCAGTCTCTTTTCTTCACTGTCTGTGTCCATCTGTAATGTGGTGAGAGATATTAGTGACAACCACTTGCAATTATTCCTGGTATCTACCTTACATTAAACAAATAATAAACTAAACAAATACTTTGCAGACTGATAGCTTTTGCACTGTATTATGCACTGCTTTCACCAAACTCATCTGAATCCTCGCTGGATGAAGGTCATCTCTAATTTTTGCATTCACCAAAAGCAACTGAGTGAACAAGATGTGTGGTTACCTTAGTTTAAATGGGAAACATGACTCTTTTATCTAATGTTGTGTTGTGATTGAAAGCACTGACCTGTATTAGATTTATAATAGGGGAGCAGGTGTGGCTATGATGGACCTTAATTTCCTTTAATAAACCTTTTGTGCACTGCACTCGTATGGCAATACAATGCTCTCTGAGGCCCTGCGCATAATAGGTTCATTACTTTTGATTACTATGGTCTATTGAGAGAAAGAACTCCCCAACACACTATATTATGTGCTGTTAAACCAATATATACCATTTATTCATTTTCTTTCAGTAGTTCACGTGCAGCACTTAGAGTGATTTTAACAACTGGTCTTCATAAATGAAACTATTAAAAAAAATGCAACCAGCGTATTTTATTGCAAGCAGAATTAGCAGTATTGTGATCTGTTTGCTATGTCTATGAATCTTTCAATCGCAATTCATTGTCATTCTTGTTATAACGGTACACAACAACCCATCCTTAATTTCACAAACCACCGCATTATGGTAAACAGACAAAAGAAGAGTGGCTCTGTGATGTCTGCAGGAAAACAAAAATCAGGTCAAATGAACTCTACGGTTTTGTTAGTTGTGAGTAGCTTTTCTGTGAATAAAAAATCTGTTCCACTCAATCATAAAAAAATGCTTTGACACACAAATACAATTAAAGATCTCCTAAACTACTGGGAGAGGCAAGATTCGTTGCTGGAGTGCATCTGTTCTCTGTTTGCATACAGTCAAAATAGCCTATTTTAGCTCTATTCAATAGAGCACAACCTTTCCGATAGCCTTAGCCATATGACCACTGTCTTAAAATTTAAGATTGGAAAGCTTTCAAATTAACATTGAATATAAGAAATTGCCAAAACATTGCACAATCTTCCACTGATGGCCATGAGAAACTTCAGGCCTCTGATATAAATATACTTATATGTTTATACATTTAAAAAACAACAAAACAAACTGAACATAAGGCAAACAGTGAAATACAATAATCTTACAATATCAACTCTTTGAGGTTGACTTGCACATTTTTGCACTGAATATTAAATGATGACTAGCCCACCATTTGGTTTGTGTAGATGATAACGTAAATGAAGTCATCTTCTGTGGTTCGACCTCTTTATCCAACTCTATAGTATCTGAGCATTACAGTACACCAGGAAACTTTGCTTAAAATGTCATGACCCACATTGTCTGCGGTACATGTAAAATGGGCATCATTCGGATGCAATTATCAAAGGGTAAAATTGCTCCACAAAACATATGGCAAAGAATACTACATACTTAAGAGTTCCATTTAATGCATGTACAAATATTTAACTCTGGCCAGCTCCTGTTGTCAAAAAAGAGAAAGCCGAGGTGAGCAATTGTATTTCTATGGTGCAAATATCCTAATAGACTTTGCTGCCAGTCCCAGCGCTCTTTCGTTTCTCTGTCTGTCTTGTTGCCAGACACCCTTAACGGAGGCTGAGAGTAGGTTTGCCATGGCAAACTGTACCAACGTATTTGAAAGATTCATTTTCTTAGCAGTGAAGAATTTGCATCAGAATTTAGCCAACACAAACTACGTAGCCCAAGACAGAAAATCATCTCAACCTCCCCCGCACCCAATGGGTAAAGGCACCACCTAATGCAACACCAGGCAAAACAGATGGAGAAAGTCATAGGATCAAATGCTGGTGTGGAGAGAGAAACAATGACAATTGTGAAGATGAAGATAATAGTCTCATAAAAATACTTAAGTATTTGAAGAGAAATAATCTAAGGGTCATGGGGAAAGAGGAGGGAATGAGAATTGGAGCATATAGCTCCAGTGGGTAAGCTGACACCAGCATGAATTTGATGGGTTTATTTTATGCTATATTTTCCACAAATCTACAAACCTACCTAAAAGAAATACACTAAAAGTATTTTGACGCCCCACCCCCATCATAAATATCTGACATATATAAAAGTGATTTAACAATTCCAGACAATTGTGACGAAGAGTCGTAGACTCGAAACGTTGACTGACTTTCCTTTCTACATAGATTGTGACTGAACTGCTGAGTTTTCCCAGCTCTCTCTGTTTTTTTTTAACAATTCCAGACTTGGATGTGTATGTATACCAGATAAAGCCAGGTTAAAATGTGACCAATCTGATCATCTGTCTTGTCTTACCATTTGACCATCAAGCGTGTTATCCAATAAGGCCAGACAATCCATACTTGGAGTTACAGTGTACATGTCAATGCCTGAAAATGAATGAACTGAACATTTTTTTGTGTACTAAATTATTATGTGCTCACAACAAAAGCCCTTCCAGAGCTGTGAGTGTGCCACTGAACATACACAGAGATGAAAAAGTTCACAAAAGCACTGAGACCCACCCTCGACTGTTTGCTGTTGCAGTTATCCAGTGTTTCAGGGTAGCCAACCCTCTCGCCGTGCCCCTGTGTCCACGTCTGCTTTAACAGGTAATGTTGCAATTCATTCTCTGCAAGATGTAGAAGATAAAGGGTAAAAGTCTGCAGAACAAACGTATCACAGACAATACTCTGTGATACTAAAAGTCCTGTTTATTGCTTCACAATTAACTTCAAAATGCAAATGCCAACTCGACTGCTCTGTTATTTTAATCTTGGCTCTGTGTGACAGCAGTGAATACTCCCAGGTCGGAAAACATGCAGGTCACCACCAATTATACATACCAGCATTACCAATAACCCATTATAATCTCTTAACCCGAGAGGAGTACCCTCCACTTCACTAGATTACATTTAACCCAGGTCTCTTGGAGCTGAAGATGTTGAACCAGAGTTGCTTTTGCTTTGAAGTTACACACGTTGTAAGACAGAGTAGAATTCTCATCATCCATTTTGTTGATGATTGAATATTACTATTCAAACATAGCAGCCACAAATTACCCTTCTGCTGATGCTGGTGTGAATTCATGCAAAAGCTCGCACTTAATGGTTTTGAAGCATCCTGAATACAACATTTTAACTTTCCCCAAGGGGATGTAGGCCTACATTTTCATTGTATATGTGATTAATTATATGGAGTGGTGTAGTAGCGAAGTGGTGTGTCTGTTTGGGGTAATTTTGAATAAATAGTTGGTCAGATTGGATACTGTAGCTGCCCAAAAAGTGAGAACCCAGTCCTTGCATTATTTGTTCATTTGTCATGAATGTAACCTTGATCTCACTTAAATACATATTTACCTTTCCTTCAATGTAAGTTCGTAGGGTCAAAGTTAAAATAATAATAACCCTCGCATTTGATTTCGCGCCATTCACATTTGGGGGACATCTTGAAGCAATAACAGAATTTACTATCAAGTGTAGTGAATGTTGGGGATTATGGCAGCCAATTTACATGCTGAGGATAGCACAGCCAACCTGGCACATCTGCAGGAGCTGGAAGGGCAGAACAGTCATGGGGGGGCAGGGAGTCATCCTACTCAGCTCCTGTTAACCCTGCAAGCCAAAGCTCTAACAGTAGGGTGGTCCTAGCTGGACAAGCAGCGGGAGAGCATGCTGGACAGCAATATCAATGGCAAGCTATGCGGTTTTAGCTGGTTAGACTCCAGCAGTACCCCAACACACACTGTAGGGTCCCCAAGACTTGGCTTTTGCAAACCTGCAACTAATACTTTCCAGAATTAGGTAAACAGGATGTGTCCCTCCAGGGAGAGAGTGCGCATTCCATTTCAACAATCTATCTCTGGGATTTCCATGTGTTGGTGAGATGCATGGAAATCTCAGCTTGGTTTGGATACTCTTAAGCGTGATGATGGGTCAGATATCACATGTGTCAGATATCGTCTGACTAAAAAAAAATGCCAGGACACTGGGAGAAATTCACTTCTCTTTTTGAACCAAGGAATCTTGAAGATCCACCTGAGCAAATAAACAGGTACTCAGTTTAATGTCTCATCCGAAGGACAGCAATTATTATAATGCAGCGCATACCCAGTGGGTCGGATTGAAGTATTTGCTGGTGGCTGGAATGAGCCTCAATTTGCACAATTCAGATTCCTTATCAGGGAATACCACAAATTAGTACCCTAATTTGTTCCCTTCTGACTGAATATCTCCTATTCAAGAACAACAGCCCCAAGGTTTGCTGTTTTTGTTGTTTGCTGTGATTTCAAGCAAAACTCTGGGTTAATACTTTCAAAGTACCTGTAGTGTCAGAACAAAACTGGAAAAATTAAATGGCTTGGCACTCACGGCATTGCCTGCTCCATCTCTAGTGTAAAGAGAGGGGAGGGGAAACATGAATACAATGCTATTACTATCTGGTCTTTTGAGTTTGCGCCTGGTGCACCCACAACTTGTGTTGCTGTACCAAAAGCAAATTTCACCGTTTCAATTTCATCTTGTATCATATTGATACAATTTCTATTGAAAAAAGTACATTGATTTTTGATGTGCAGTACAGGAATGGTGCTCAATGTGTTCAATTTGAAGAAATTAAAATTCAGATGAAAACAGAGTGCTACAAAACAGCACCAGAAATTTTAACTGAAAATGATACAATTTGGGGTTGAAACAGTGGATCATAACATTGGATGAAAAAGGTGAGATGAAAGATGAATTGTCAAAAGGACTTCCCACTGGAAGCAGAAAGTTGAAGCCATAAGTTAAGTCTCACTTTTACATTGGAGGTGGCAGTGGCGGTGGTGGGTGGAGGGGTCAAGTGAGAGCAGAGGCATTATTTCAGAATGATTAAGGTTTTAGTTGAGAGGTCTTGGAGCCGCTAGAGGCCCGGGGGTCCAGGGCCGATCAATGGATTTTTCGCCTTTTGCAGCCACGTTGGATCCTAGTTTTCAAGCCCTTTTTACTCGTGTTTAATGCTACAAAACAACCTACACATAAATCAAGGCACATATAATTTTTGCTTATATAAATCAGCCTGTTTTGTCTAAAATAAGTGCTGAAATCTAGTGAAGTGAAGAGAAAGATGGCTTTATATGCTTGGTAAATGACAAAAATATATAGTTCCTGTGGCACCCTGCTTAATATCTCCATGCATTTTGGACAATCTCCCCTAACAAACACCTTCTGCTTCCTTCCTTCCACCGCTGACAAAGCACCAAACCCCCAACACTGCATTGGATTGTCAGCCAGACTATGCAAGTTAAAAATCCCGACATGGGGTTTAAACCCACAACATTATGACTCAGCTGCAAATATGTTATCAACTGAGTCAAGATGACCCCTCAAGTCTTAAATCGTTTTAATTAATCTTCCTAACGATATTTAGATGTCAAAATGGTGGACATACTGTTGTAACAAAGGATAAACTTCAGTTAAGTCAAAAGGCTTTTTCTCATCCTCAACTTCTCCAATGGTTAAAATTCACTTTACAGTATATTCTGTGAACCGCTTTGGGACGTCTAGAAGACGTGAACAGCGCTATATCAAATGCAAGGATTATTTATTATTATTAACTTGTTCCTCTCTTTTTCCTCTTCTTATTACCATTCATCTTAGCAATATCACAACCACTGGGTATGATCTTTGATTTTGTAAATGAGGAACAAATACTTTGTCATTCATCTGCATCCGCAGTTTACTCTGTCATGTGCATATCTCTGCCATGCCACCATGGACATTCTGAAGTAAAACTGTGTCGTACTAAGTACTAAAAAGTTCCAAAGTAAAACTGTGGCATACTAAGAACTCTGAAACAGTCAGGACCATTTGTTTGCTTTCAAGAAGTTAACAGAAAGAAAATTGGACATATGCACAGACATACTCCCCCGAGGAGAGTATTGTGTGATGTGATAGCTGAGCAGGTGCACCACCTTAAAAAAGGACAGAATTAAGTTTGGCGCCGCATTAATCACTCTGTCCACCCCCTCCTTTGCCGCACACTGCCAAATGGATGCGCTGTGGCAAAGCATGAATAAGACAACTTATTTGCATTGTAGCAAAAACATTTCTGCAGTAATACAGATGGAACAGAGTTTAGCCCTTCCTGCTGCAAGAAGGTTAACATTCCTGTTTCATACAGGAACCCATTACAAAGATGCTTTTTAGATCTCACTCTGGCAGCTTGCAAAATGCACCTTTTTCCTTTCATACAACCACTGCAAAAATGTACTACCGTACAGATATTGCTGCTGAGTATTACAAAACTGAATCCAAGAAACCTACATAACTTGCCAATCACAATAGGCTTGGAACAGAGTTGTTTTTTTTCTGGTTAAACATTTTATTTTAATACAGAAATGCTACTTAAATCCTAGGACGATTAACTGGGATGTTTTGTATATAAAAAAGTAATTCTCAACATTACAGACAATTACTGCCAAGTCTTCCATAGTATTTTAATTCTTTATACTTTACACTTTCTTAAATTAACACCCATCTCCATTTATGCATTCAACATTATAACATTAAATATGAATGTCATAGTTTGAATCTAAAGTGAAAGCTAATGTATCATGCGGAGGTGAATTCATGTGTGTCTGTTACTTGAATAACTTGTTTCAATTAAGTAATATTTGTTTTTAATGATGAGGTGCAGCTGCATCAAGGATGAATTAGTAATGGGGCTGTCCCATCTTATTCTCTTGTTTTTAGATGAAAAATAATGGTCGGTGAATATCTTATGAACAAACAAATGTGCATAGAACAACACATTACAAGATGTTGATACCATCTTTAATGTATCAATGTACAAGACAGGGTTATTCACAAACCTGGGGCTGAGTACACAAATTCCCTTTCGAGTGGAATAAAGATTGTGCTTAACTTCTTATGCAATATTATGTTTTTTGTAGAGAAACCTGGGTGGAAAGACCAATGCCCATGCTAGAGGAAACCACAAAAAANTGGAAAAAATAGGAGAAAGGACAAGATAAATCAATAAGCTTGGTTTCTACATGGCCTTAGATTGTGTGAAGAGGCAGGAAATTTGAATTGAAAATATGAATTACCACAACACAACTCAAGAGAGGTTTTGACAATAAAAGCGCTTCAGTCCATTTTATTCTTCAGAATACCCATTCTCCCATTTTCCTATCACAGCATCAAGCTGGCTCTAACAGAAGGTCAGACTCAAAGGATACACCTGAACCCATGCAGTGAGACTAAACTAATAGTTTGATCTTCGGGAAAGAACAAATTGGAATAGGAGGGCTTGATGTGTTTTGATTTAATGATGAGGACCTATATAATGCACATTTTCCGCTTCATGTAAACATGTTTTAAAAAATTAGAATAAGCATTGCTTTCAAGATTGAAATTTCCTCTGGTATAGATCAGAGTACTAGGAAGTTGAGTTGTTCTCAAGTATGAGTTAGTCTGGTTAGAACTTGGGACTCACTGGAGCTGAAGATAATAATAATAATAATAATAATCCTTGCATTTGATATAGCGCTTTTCACGTCGGGAGGACATCCCAAAGCGCTTCACAGACCACACTGTAAAGTGAATTGACTGTATATTTGTGGGCGAACGCGGCAGCCAATTGCGCACAGCA